ATAACATTCAATATCATTTGTATGTTTAAAATATAACAAACTGATTTTTTAATTATTTAAAAACCTGGTGTAAGTTAAAATCTTTTAAAATAAATGTTGAAATCAAACTTTCGTACAAATAACATTCAAATCCACCCCATACATGTGATAACATCAACCGTCGATTGGTGGCACACTTGTTACAACATTTGGATTAAAATTACTAACTCAGATGTTGGATTATGGATTGAGATAGGTTATTGGGTTCGGGCGTTAGTAAAAACGAATTAAACTAATCTTTAGTTTTTATGTGCAAAACTTGAGCACTGCTCTATGGACGAATTTGAAGGAAGCACGGTTATACTTCTTTAATATTGTAAAAAGACAAAATGATATGCCTCCAGTGACTGAAATTGTTTAAACGAACAAACGATTTAAAAGATGTGTTATATTACTCTTTTATTATCGTTTTCGTTCGTTTTACATTATTTTTCATACATACACGCGTGTTCTGGTCTTTTATGACATGGATTCCTTTTTAAAAAAATCGATTCCCGGACGTGCAGAGTTTTCCTCAAGATTTTTATTACACATTATTGAGTCTGGTGGATGGATTTACACGTGACGAATTTAATGGTGGTCGTCCCAACATGGCGATAATGTCGTCTATTGTTTTGACTCACGCGCATCCATTCTAATGCTAATCTGTGTTTACAAACAATAAATAGTTTTATTAACAGTATTTCTATATGTGTAACGCAGTAGTTCCCGTTTGTGTGTAAGATAAAGATATTATGAATTATATTTAACAAAAGCGATAGTTTTATTGTATGTGCAACATTTTGTTTAATCTAGGTATGGATTACGTTTAGTCACGTGACAATTTCCAAACTTATTTGTGAAATCATTTGTCTAGAAACCCTGATAGTAAGTATTTCTTTCTCTCACTTCTAGATGTTTTGATTACGATTTATATATTGTCGTCTAGAATGAAGTATAGATTCAGAGCAAAGTTGTCAAATAGGTTATCTTGTCATAATCTGGTTTACTTGCGTTTATAAAACTCATTTTCCTACAAGGGCATATAGTGAATGTTATCAAAAATAATTGTACAAAAACATTACCAATTTGCGGTTTTGTTGGTTCGCAGATAATACTGGTATTATAAAATATACAAGATACTGTTGAAAACAACTGAGTCATACTACAGTAATTAAGGACATTTATTTCTTTACGATGAATATCGACGACAGTTTGCAATAAAAAACAATTGAACATCTATGTATAATATCTAAAACTGATAAATATAATAATAAAAACACTTAATTTCCTTAGAAATATTAAACAGGAGTAAAATCAAATGAAAGAAATCAAAGAATGTAAATGAGCAGTTTCTCAAAGCAGTTTCTGGGTTGACTGTAATCTATAAAGAAAATTAAGACGTGTCTTAGCCACAATTTATGAAGATCCGTTCAGTTGGTTCAAGGTCATTTCAGATTTTGTTGGTTTATATATATACTAGCTAGCAAACATCGTTTCTCCTTAATGTGATTTTACTTAGCCTTTTTAGGTTTTTCTGTGATTTTTCTCTATATAAACCTCAGAGTTCAAGTTATAACTTCTTAACTAACAAATCAAAAATAGGGGTTGATCTTAGAAGTTAGATGAACATTAAGGGTTGTATGTATTTTTGTATGCTGTATCATAAAAAAATAAAAACAAAAAAAATTAAAAAATAAATTTTGGGGTAGACACCCCTTATCGCTTAGGGTTTTGAAAGATATATAGTAGTCGACCCTCAGACTTACTGAATATGCATAAAATATTCAAAAGAATCGTTCGAGCCGTTTCGGAGGAGTATGGAAACGTACATTGTGACTCGAGAATTTTATATATATAGAGATTAATGCAACTTCACAACATTATATTAAAAAAATCAATGGCGCGACCTTTTTAGGTCTGGGCCTCAGATTTCTGTATCTGTTTCATGATCATTTGTTAATCCAATAGGCAAGTAGGTGATCAGCCTTCTGTGCCTGACGCACTCCGTCTACTTTTTGGGCCTAAGGCACGCCGCCCGCCGGTTTCCTCACGATGTTTTCCTTCACCGTTCGAGCGAATGTTAAATGCGCACAGAGAAAGAAAATCCATTGGTGCACAGCCGGAAATCGAACTTACGACCTCAGGGATTTTATAAAATAGCTTTATTATAATAGCCATGAAGTTTTCGTAAAAAACCTTAAACTACGCAAGGTCTTCGGGGTCGCACTGTTCCCAAAATGTTTCCGTATGTTTCCTTTATCGGGGTTAACAACTTTCTGAGACCTTCACAGCACTCGGTGTTAATTTGGGGTCATTTAACAAGATTTTTAATTTCAAATAACTTTAATCATAAAATCTATATATTTGAAGTTTCTGGATATATAAGCAGCCACTTATTTTAATGAATTACGGTGCTTAGGTAATGTTTCGTAATCTGGAGTTATAGCTTCTCGTATAAAAACGTTGGATTTTGACACAATAACACATACATACATAATATTTAAAAGTTTCTTGTATCTGTGTTCTCTCAAAGTTTTAAAAGGTTCGACCTTGTTTGAGTTTTATATTTTTAATTTTATTTATTTCTTATAGTAGGGGAAGATCGTTACCCTTCGTACGCGGGGCACATTCATACAGTCGAAATAAAACTTGAACGAAACAAAGTACAGTCTTGTTTTTGTATTGTGCATGAGTCGAGGTACGAACTATACATCAACGAAGTTTCGCGAAATTCGCACCGATGAGAGTGAAGTTACAGGCATGGACGTATTTTCGCGCTCGGTAAGTAATTTTTTGATCAATGTTTTTGTCTCTTGTTACCGTAGATAAAATAAGTTTTCGTGTAGAGTTTTCTATCAGTAACTAGCTAAATATACTTAGATACGTCTCCAATACTTAATTTATGACTTTTTCCTATTAATATTAAAATAAGTTATATTTTGTTGTTATTCAGTTAGTGGGGTACTTTCGGACAGCACTAGATGGGGCACATTTGAACGAATTGTACAACTAAATTTGTATGAAAATATTTTGTCGACACGAACTGTCATTTTCATACAAATTAAGTTTTCCACTTGCTACATACAAATAATAATAAGGCATCTTGACTAAACCCTCTGGTAGGTAGGAAAGATTGTGTTAGTGTGCTAATTGCTAATATTTGCATTAACTTTGTCCTGTGTTGCTATCATTGCTATCGTCGATGTATATTAATACCTATTTTTATTATCTTTATTAAGGTTGATTTTGATGCCTGTGAACCAGATGCTTTGAATAATTTACCAATCCATCAAATAGTAGTTCCTTCGAAGTCAGTTTTGACACCAGAAGCGTTTCGACTCTATCCGCATGTTGTAAGAAGTAATAAAACTAACAAAATGACGACGACGGCCAGGAAAACCACGAATTTATACTGCCACACCCGAAAATAAGAAGTGCTAATCCGCACCAAAGATTAAAAAATGTGATTCTAAATTTAAGATACCTAACTAATTAAATTTTGGTTTTCTTAAGAAAAGCTATGTAATTTTTGTTCACTATAATTAAAGTATTTTATTTTTGTTTAATAGAAGTTAAATCTTTATTTTTGTGTTTAATTTCATTGCTAATAAAATGAATTTTGATTTATATGTGTTGTTTTAATCGCACGTACGGAACTACCCCACAGCGTACGAAGGTACCCTCAACACTGTACGAAGGTGCCCCGTTGATGGGGGTAGATTCGTACGTTTTCCAGATTTAGTTTAAATCATAATTATGGTTGAACAATCAGATGAAATCATTTGTCATTTACTTATATGAATCTCAGATAGTTAGACTATAAATTTAAGCTTGCAGATGATCGATTCATGGAAAAATAAAATAATAAAAAATTAAATGTGAAAACCGTACGAAGGGTCCCGACCTTCCCCTATATAATATAAATAAACTAACATAACATATTATTTTAATTATATGAACTTGCTGGAATTCCATAATAATAAAATATAGAGTTCGAGTATTCGTTTAAATTGTAATTAAAATTCACGAATAAAATGTTAGATTTTATATAAAACCTTTAAAACCGTGGAATATTTTATGAAAATTTTGTTAGAATTCATATAAACATCAAATACAATGACCCTTTCCCACGGCACTGAATAAACTTGACCGTTTGTTGAAAAAACAATAGAATTGCTCATCATACGGATATTTCTTATTTTATTACTAAAAAGTATGTAAAATGTGTGTACTAGGTTTTTGTTAATATGTACTGCCGTAACTTTGTTAGAAACCGGAATGATTTAAACAAATTACTTTTCAAAATATTTGGAAACCCTCCTTAAGGCGGAAAGAACACACAAATATAATCTCTAATCATAATATTAAACGATAATTATAACATATGCCTTTTGTCAACAGTAAATATCATAATCTTACCATACCCATAAATATAATGTTTAAAGAACATTATTTCTCATTACAAAAAATAATATATTTTATTTGCATGAGAAACTTATTATTTATACGAACGAGATACACGTCGCCATTTTAGTTTACTCTCATTCTGATATGTTTCTAATATTACGAATTTTAGACGGTAATTGATTAAATAATTGCACACCCTCATACTTAATAGACTTCTTCAAATAATTTGTACGCGGCTTCGGCAAGATATATAGTATTTGTCACCAAACACCTTGTGTAAGGTTAAAATAGTCATGAAGTAGAAATATTATACTATATTTCACGTCTGCAGAGCTCACTAATAAAACGCTTAACTTAAATCTGAAGATTCGTTTGTTGAAGAATATTTGTTCAAAAGTACAACTTACGTTAAATAAGTTTAAACTAACAACTTCGATTACAGCTGCTAGTTTTAACAAGTCTACGTGTGTTCTGTTGACTTCCAAAGTGTTATATATAAAATTGTAAAGACAACATAGCATTCCTCCATACATCCTTCGGGAACAGACGTGTTTTATTTTTCAATGTCAATTATGGATATATTCTATTCTTCGTACATTCATCATTTATCGGTAACTTATCGTGATAAAGATTGACAATCGACAACTTATAAGACAAAACCACTGCATGGAAATAGAAAAACTTACATTTAAATGTTTTTTAAAAAAAAAGCTATCATCATCCCGCAATCTCCAACGTTTCAATTAAAGTTATTCAATTGATCAACAAAGAAGTTATATCATTATTTCTTTAAATTTATACAGAAAATACATAGTCAAAAGTACTAAAGTGAACTAGCCCCCCCCCATCCCCCTAGGATTCTCTGTGTCGTGGGCAGGTAGTCTCTTCCATTTGACATGTTAACAGTACTTGAGATAATAATTTATAATGAACACTTACATTTTATAATTAAACTATTGTTCCACAATAAGAATACTTTCCGTTTCAGTATAGGTTGAGAACCGAGAGAGAAATCGACGAAAGCTAAACGAGATTTTGATAATAGTTTTGTTATCATTTCAACACAATTTTTGGTTAATTACCTACGTTTGTCAGTGTTATAACAAATGTAAAGAGAAAATATTTGTTTCAGGGGACGCGATGGCCAATTCTCTGTCTGTCGATTTTACTTGCTGCGTCAGCGTGTGGAAGCGATATATTAATGATCACAATGGGAGGAACAAAGTCACATAAAATACCTTTTTGGGAACTCGCCAGAGGGCTTATTAGAAGGTGATTTATTCTTAAATAGCTTACATTGACTGGATTCAGAATTGTGTAACTGAATCCAGGTATATTTCACACCAGACGCAAAAGAGGCATACGTTTGACGTGTTTGTGTATTTGTTTCTGGTATCTAAACGAATAGACCGTTTATATGCGATTTTTTGTTAATCAAGAGTTTTTAGCTTATGAAGATCTGTTCTAGTTTTTCAAGATATTTTGTTAGCTCACACATAATGTGTAACAGCATTGCATTATCCAGATTCTAGCTTTGCATGAAATGACAAAATAATATCAATGAAATAAAAAAGTAATGACATAAGATAACCCGTGTTTTAAATATCTAAAACTTTCTTTCTATAGGATATCGGTAAAATAATATATTACTTTCTATTGAAGCAAGAAACATTGTCTATCATTAACGCAATTACCATAAAATAGAATTTATTACATTAATTAACGCAAGACTGTGTAAAGCATTCGATACATCGAGAGATGAATTATGTTATAAATTTCGTTTACAAATTAGATTTTTATTTCAGAGGTAACAACATAACCTTGATTAGTGCGTTTCAACCAGACTTCCACCTCGAAGGCTTAGAAGAGATAGCTCCCGAAGGTTTGGCTTCCTTTATTAGAAGTTATATGTCTTTGGACTTAGTAGGAGCCAGGATGAGGGGAGAGGAACCACTACCGTACAAGGATATTGTGAGATTTGGATATGAGGTGGGTATTTTTTGAGATTAATAATTATTAATAACTACTCCTAAACTCTCCATTGTGTCGCGTCTATAGACATATTTCTCCGTACAATGTTCCATTTAACCTTCTGTTCATTTTGCCCTTCCTTCCGGTTTGACATCTCAAAATTTATTATGTAATTAACTAGCTGACCCGGCAAACGTCGTTTTGCCATGTATATAATTTCTAGGTAACATTTTTTTTAGTTCAATAAAAATAACTATCTACTAAAATAAAAATAGGGGTTGGTCGTAGAGGGGTGACAATTAAGGGTTGTATGTTGTATATTTAAAAAAAAATATCCAAAAATTTTTTTTTGCGGTGGACACCCCTTATCACTGAGAGGATCGAAATATAGATAGTAGCCGATTCTCAGACTTACTGAATATGCATTAAAAAATTTATAAGAATCGGTTGATCCGATTCAGAAGAGTATGGGAACGAACATTGTGAAACAAGAATTTTATATATTAGATATATAATAATAACGTTCAGTTATGTAATTTAATACAAATAAAGAGCGGACCGTATCTTCCTCCTTCTGGTTTCTTCTATTTATGTTTGCCATAGTCATTTTGTATGATGATTTGATATTTTAAAAGAGTACCGAGAGTTTTTCACGCCGGCTTTTTCTCTCGGCCTCGGGAGGTTGTAACCTCTGTCTTCTTTGCCGATGAATAGGAATGTCTACCTATACAAAATTTAATGACGTGGAAAAACTAAAACCTGTATATATATATATTCCATAATAAATATATTTTATTTTATTTAATGGATCTTGTATAAATTGATTAGGTTTAGGTGTGAAAACGGTAGTGGTACAATTATGTTTGAAGCCCTTTAACACGGCACCTATTTAACAGTTTTAAGATTAGCCTGGCTAATTGATTAATCTTAATTTGTTTCAGGCTTGCGACGCATTTCTCAATGATTACGAAACCAGATCATTCCTTCGATCAGGAAGGACATATGATCTAATTATTCTCGATGGCGCTTACCCTGAATGTGCCTTGGGTATTGTGTATCGGCAAAAAGTACCTTTCATGTACATCAACACTGTTGGATTCTATTCTGGACCTACCAGTATATCCGGATCTCCAGCTCCGTACTCCGTTACTCCAATATTTGCAAAATCTTTTACGGATAACCTGAATTTTATAGACCGTGTCAGAAATACTTTTTGGCACGTCGGTGCTTTCGCTGGACATGCAGTGAGTGTCACAATACTCCAAGGAGTTTTGAGGAAACATTTTGGGCAGCAAATCCCTCATGTTTACGATATGGGAAAGAATGTGAGCTTCATACTTCAGAATGGGCATTATTCCGTGTCCTATCCCCGGCCGTATTTGCCGAACGTTGCTGAAGTTGCGTGCATACATTGTAAGGAACCGAAGAAATTGAATGCGGTAAGGTAATCTATATCAAATGTGTTCAAAAAAAATCAAAATCATTTATTCATTTAGGTAACACAATGTAAAGTTATGAACGTCAATAAAGAAATACATATTAAAGGCTAAATGCGTCTAATTAGCATTTACTGCCAGTTCTCAAATCAAGGGCGTAGAACGGACGAGAAGTACTGGCAATAACTCACTCACTCTTTTATCGCCAAGTTTTTTGTTTTACAAAATGTTTGTAAGGAGCTGCAACCATTACACCATGTTCCATATTACACGTTTAAGTAATTAATATCCAATAAATAATGAAACAAAAAAATACAAACAAATATTTGTCTTCTATCAGCAGTAGGCATGGTGAAATAGGAGCTCGCACTTACATTCTCGAGAGAACAACACGCAAGTGTGAAGTACAAATGTCTACTTCTAGTTCTATTTCACTTCTTTCTTGAAAAGTCAAATAATATTTTTTTTAATTGCATTTTTCAAATTTAAATATTCTTTTCCCACTTGAAAGACCTTCAGCCTTCACACAGTTGTGTACATGTAAGTAACTAAGCAATAAGTAAGTTCCTTCTTGACTTTCATACCTACTTTCAGGATTTAGAAGACTGGATATCTGGTTCCGGTAATGAAGGCTTTGTCTACGTATCTATGGGATCATCAGTAAGAACAGACAACATGCCACTCACGGTACACAGAATGATGGTTGAGGCTTTGGGAAGACTTCCGCAAAGAGTTCTGTGGAAACAGGACGCTGAGCAGAACTTGACAGATATACCCTCAAATGTTAGGCTGTACAAATGGTTGCCCCAACAAGATCTATTAGGTAATTTTTAGTTTATAGAATTTGTTTTATTGTTTTTTTTAAATTTTGATTCAAAACTGTTCACCGGTTAAAGTGGAATATTTCAACATTAAGAAAGATACTTATTAGAATATTACCATGCTATTAGAGTAGCCATCTGTTGTATATATTTTTGGACTTTGAAATTTGGTTCAAATAACTTGAAAAGAAGGAGAAAATATAGAACAGTAGAGGAATTTATCCCAACTAAAACCATAATCTAAAACATTAACATCACATCTAAAACTCGTTATAAATTTCAGGTCATCCAAAGATCAAGGCATTCGTTACGCACGGAGGTCTACTCAGCATGTTCGAAACCGTTTACCACGGAGTACCGATCGTCAGTATCCCCATCTTCTGTGACCACGACTCCAACGCCGCCAAAGCCGAAGTCGACGGCTACGCCAAAAAACTGGACTTACAATATCTAACAGCTGACAAATTGTTCAAAGCCATCACAGAGGTCATCAATGACCCCAAATACAAGGATCAAGTTAAGAGACGTCAAGTTCTCTTAAGAGATCAGAAAGAATCGCCATTGGAACGAGCCATCTATTGGACAGAATATGTGATAAGGCATAAGGGAGCTTATCACTTGCAGTCACCAGCGAAGGATCTGAACTTCATTCAATATTACTCTCTTGACATTCTCTTTTTATTCATTGCTTTGGTAATATTCTCTTCTTTAATTTTAATGTATATTGTGCGATCTGGTTTCAAGAAGTTAGCTGACTATGTTCAGCGTAAACGAATGAATCAGTTGATGGATACTTCGTGTTTAAAAAGATCGAAGAAGTTGATCGATCAGTCCAAGAAGAAGTTGTGATTGTTTCTTACCATGTTGTAATTTATAGGTCGTTCGACCGCTCTATCGAAAATTATAAGGAGATATTTTCAATCATAGTCTTTTCTTTAATAAATATATTGATTTTTATATTTTTCGATAGATTTATTTTGTGATGTTTGTTTAAATTGTGAGAGTACAATTATTGTGTGATATAGGTACAGATGTAAATATAGCTGTAATAAAATTATTATTAAAAAGTTTTATTATTTCACTGAATTCCCATAGTTTCGTAAGAAAGAAAGATTATTTGCACAAAAGTCGGTATTAGAAGCAGCTACATTGTATAGATGGGATTAACATTAAATAAGATAAAATTTATTGGTTTTTTGGTATTATATTACATACTACATACTGAATACATACATATTGAATAAGTTGAATCACACAATTAATTGCCACTAACTATAATTAGCTGGCGATTTTTTATCCTAATTACGCTTCCACAGCCTTAAGAGACAAAAATTATTTTAGAAAAACATTTTGCATTGACATACAGGAATTTAAATACAGAATAGAAAAGTTTGATTTGTTTGATTGAACAAAAGCCAAAAGACGCAAGTTAGTGAACGCAAGAGTAACCTCATATTTGTTTCCAATTTCGAAATAATTTTTTTATGTAATGTTCCCTTCATTTGGCCCTCACATGTTTAGATGTGGTTCAATGGGCGCAAAATAAGAGAAAGTTAGGAGAACTTAGGAAAACTCATAGTGGAAGATTTTTCCGGAAAAAAAAAGGATTCTTAGCGATTAAAAAGCGTGGCGGAGTTTATTATCAGTTCTTCTCGTTCGTTCTTTTAATTTGAGAAGTGTCATTAAATATTAATTTGCGTGTAAATGATATTTTATTATTGTATACCCTATACCTGTGTGAACAGAAACCCTATATAAATATCACTGTAAAATCAAAATCATTTCCAAGCCATGTTTAAGTAACAGTTACATTTTGTCTAGGAATATATAATATCATCGTTATGCAGTACTACTTTATTTATTACACGAATATTACATTTCAATTTTAGGTGGTGCCTCCTGTCCATTTGAATCCGGTTCTGGTTTTACTTTACTCGGTGAATCAGAGCTAACAGCAAACCGCATTATATTGTCTGAAACATATTACATAAGATATATAATAGCTGGCTGTTAATTTTTGTTCCTTTAAAAATAATTTATTCGATAAAAAATAGGCGTGTCCCATGTCATTAGAGGTTTCAGTACTTTTAACGAACAAGATTATGAGACTTAGCGCTAAGCAGGGGCGGATCTACTTAAGGGCTTTTTGGGCTGCACCCCAGGACCCTGTGGATACAAAGGTCCCCCAGTCCTCACTGAAAATAATAGGGGATATTTTGAATTAAAAAAAAAACAATCATAAGGTTGGAATACCTGAGATCTATCAACTCATGTGCGATGCGCCTCTATTAAACGGAACGGGGAATTCCCCGTCGCTTGTTTTCGGTCGGTGTAGGGCGTATATTACGAGGGACTTTCCCGTAATAGCCCAGAGCCCCACAAATGAACGATCCACCCATGGTGCTAAGTATTACTCTCTTATGTCAAAAATATATTCAATCAATACAATTCCATTCCGTCAGGCCAACGAGCGGTTGTGTGAAGTATTGTTAAATTCAGTAAAAGTGAATCCTATTGAAAAGTGCATCCATTACTTTAATAAGGTACTTAAAAATAATTGGAGTTCTTTCTCAGGCATCCCGATATTGAGAAATTAGTGAACACTGAACATTATTACATACCCTCCAGAAAATTTGGCGACAAATTTTTTTTTGCTTTACCGTCATTTCTACCTTTCTCTTCTATCAAACTTAACTATGGACGGTTCATCTGGGGTTGTTGTGTGCCCATTGAAGGAAACAATGATTCTAACCTTGCTTGTTCTCTGCGTAATGAGAACCTTGGTGCATGTCTCTGATAGACTTTAGTTCTGAGATGAAAAATTATGGACTTGTCCTAGTGCAATTTAAAGGTTCCGACTACCAGTCCGTAACTCACACCAGAGTGACCACGAATGGCATCCCAGTCGCCAATCGTAGTTGGTGAGCAAGGAATCACCCGTGAGGATATTCATAACATCGTTCAGGACGTTTTTAAAGATACCTTGAAGGACATTTTTGTAAATTAACGAAAGCATAACAAACGTCCTCCAGAAAGAAATGGATCCCCACGAACAATATTGCCTAGCGAGTCACTAAACTTTTAGAACAACAAGTTGAACTCAAAGAGTGCGAGTCCTAAGTCTAAAGTATGTACTGGAAAGGGAAAGAGAAGATCTTCAAGGCTGCATCAAAATCTCAAGCTGCGTTGCGAAATACAGAACAATTCTGCGTCATAGTAATATTGAAATACAATGCATTCCTGAAAACAAAAATGAAAACCTGTTAGAGACGGTCCTCAGAAGGAGTGGGCTGTGAGTTGCTATATTTTAAGCTTCACACGCCCGCAAAGGCTACCGTACCAGACGCGTCAGTGGTTCAATTATCGTCCCCCGCGTATTCGTGACAACCTACTGGCTTCAGTGTCGAGATACAACAGGAACAACTACGTAATAAGCTTAGCACAACAGTTCTCGGCTGCCTGGCAAACCATCACCGATTTACATCATACACCTTCCCACTAACAAGCCTTACTCGCTCAGATTGAAGGCGAAATCCTTGGGAATAAGTATTGTGGGTGCGCAATGGCCGCATATATTTAAGAAGGTCCGATGATTCGAGTTACATCTTGGTCCAATATGGACACTATTAATTGTTTAGAGTAGGTTGCCTTAACGCCCACACAACAATAACAAATAAGATCTGTATGTTTGGTTTAAGTTTGTATTACCAAAATGTTAGAGGTTTAAGAACAAAAAGCATTCCTTTTACTCTCAAGTGGTTTGTAACAATTATGATATTATAGTTTTAACTGAATCATGGTTAAATGACTCGGTCTGTAGCTCAGAGCTGTTTGATGAACGGTATGTGGTGTACAGGCGGGATCGGTCTGAGACCTTAAATCTCAAAAAAGGAGGTGGCACCATTATTGCCTCTCAAAGAAAATTAAATCTAAAAGAATGATTAGTTGGGAATCCGATATCGAAGAAATTTGGGTTCGAGTGGAACTGCCGGCGCCGCATTCCTTTCATCAAATTGATTTCTGTGTAGTTTACTTTCCTCCACCCGTCAACTATTCTATGTTAAAAAAATTTACCACAAATTGCAATAAAATTTTCGAATACTCTGTACCTTGTATTGTCGGTACTTCAATTTAAGAGATATACGCTGGAGCAATTCAGTGGTGAATTTTATGTCCCTCCCTCATTAAACCATTTATCGATTTCATAGATACTTAATCTAAACAAACATTCTTACTTAATAATTGTAACAGAATTCTCGACCTTGTACTACTAATTGCCATTTGTGAGGTGAGCCTCATGTGGTGTTTTGAGCGTTATAGATAAACTAATCCTCCCTTGATATTGAAATCTCCCTACCACAATCCTGAATTCCTTTTAACATAGTCACGACTAACGTAATTTCCGTAAAGCTAACTATGACATATCTTTATTGAGTTAACAAAGTGCGATTGGGAGATGCTTTTCGCTGGAATTGACGATGTCGACTTGATGGTAAATGTTTTTTATTTGAACAACGAGATAATCAATAAGTAGTCCCTTAAGCAAACCTAGTAAAATCACTATCCTCTGTTTGATCGAAATTAATTCGAACTTTAAAAGAGAAGAATAAAATAAACTACGTTATAAAAAAATAAAAACAAGGGACGGTTAGAACTGACTTACTAAGTAAAAGATGCAAGAAAATGGCAGTGAAACGGTATATTTCAGATATAGAAAACAAAATAGACACAAATCCTTATTTTTGGTCATATGTAAAAAACAAACGCTGCGGCACTATTCTTACCCCTTGGCTATGTCTGATGGATGTACTTCTACCTCTGACGGTTACCAAGTCTGCGAACTTTTCTCCACACACTTTAAAACGGTTTACACTCCTAGTAACAACATTAATTTTAGCCAAAACAAAACAGAAATCCTTATTGTCTAAACTGGATAATAGTGCTTTTTACTTGTGTCCGCCGGTTTTGAATTATGAAACTCTTCTAGGAAACTAATGCACTTGGACAGTATAAGGGAGCTGGCCCTGACATCCCGCCCATTTTTATAAGCAAATGTGCTAATTTTGGTTGAACCTCTCTTACAATATACAATAAATCTCTTTCCTCAGGAGTTTTTCCTGACAAATGGAAAACGGCTAAAGTGGTACCTATCCATAAGTCGGGGGAAAAAGAGCTGGTACGAATTATAGACCTATTTCTTTCTTTCCTCCTTGCTAAAATACTTGAGTCTCTCGTATGTCCTTCTTAATAAACATTTTGAACAGTTAATTGCTTCATCACAACATGGGTTTATGCGACTAGATCAACCACAACTAACCTAGTTGAGTATACTGAATTCATAAGTGATGCATTGGATCGTGGTCTCCAAGTTGACACGATTTACACAGACCTCACAAAGCTTCGATCGAGTTCCTCACTCATACTTCTGAATAAGTTATCTAGCTACGGCTTTCACCACCTTTTCTTAAATGGATTGAATCTTACTTAAGTAATCGCAATTTTTTTGTTGTCGTTAATGGCTTTAGCTCCGTTATACAGAACATAACCTCCGGTGTACCGCAGGGCTCTCATCTAGGGCCATACTATTTAATATATTTGTAAATGATTTAACAACTTGTTTTAAGCATTCTAAGGAGTTCATGTATGCAGACATCTCAAGCTTTGTCTTTATCAGTGGTTTCGAGGATTGCCTCGATGCTCCAATCTGATCTGAATGAAGTGATTTCATGGTGTGTCTCCAGTGTATGGAACTGAATGTCCGAAAGTGTCATTTCGTTCGTTTTGCTAGAAAGAGGGATGTTATAGTTTACAACTATCTATGGGTAGCTCGTTACTTCGAGAGGAAAGAGTGGTTCGTGACTTGGGGTACTTTTTGACAATAAGCTCACTTTCTCAGAACACCAGGACTTTATAATTCAGAAGGCTTCTAGAGTCTTGGTTTTGTCATAAGGAATACAAAAGGGTTTCGAAGCACCAAATCGAAAATTCTAGTATACAACAGTCTCGTGCGGAGCTCTGATATGGGACAGTTGTATGGAGGCCGCATTGCGACGCATTGCTACGACTCGAGAGAGTACAAAAGAGGTTACTGTGGCTCTGCTTTTCTCCATGGCATCTCGAAAAAAAAGTTGCCAACGTACGAAACGAGGCTGGCGCACTTTAACATGTTGTCACTGGAGAATCGCAGAAAATCAATTGATATATCGTTTGCATTTAAGATATTCAATAATCTGATTGATTGCCCGAACCTCCTATCTAAATTTAATTTTCGTGTACCCTCTCGATACCCCCGGCATCCAATTGTTCCATTTGTCCCTCCTTTCCGTAGAACGCGATTTGGTCAAAACTCACCGATGTCCAGATTAAGCATACTTATAAACGAGCTAGGTCTGGATATACATAGTTGCTCACCTCACAGTATAAAATGGATTTTTGTTTAGTTTTTTTTGTAATTAGAATTTTTTCTTTGCTAAGTAATTGTTTTGTTTTTTTTGTTTGGTTTTTTGTAATCAGAATTTTTTCTTTGATAAGCAACTGTTTTTGTTTTGTAATGTTTGTTTTGTTTAATAATCTCTTTATGATCTCTATATATGTATGCTATGTTTGCCTATAAGTGCTTGTCACATTAAAAATTGTATTTTGTGTTTGTTTCTACCAATGTCTCAGTGTGCCGAGCGTTGGCAAGCTTTATCAATAAAAAAAAAAAAAAAAAAAAAAAAAAATATATTGGATAAGAGAAACGGAAGTCTCTTATATACACTCTGAATCTTACCCAAACACATGCCAAGTTAACCGCTTTAAACTAGTCTTAACCTAATTCACTTAATAATACAGCCATTTAGGCCCATATAAAATGTACTGGAATTTGACAAAATTATTCGCACAGTGGTCTGTGAAAATAGTTGTGTTTGATCTTTTAGTACGTTAAAAGCTTTTATCGTTAACAAACAAGAAACACGTCTAATGCTATGTTTATTTATGACTAGCGGCCTGCCTAAACAATAAACTACAAGCTACCACCTTATCAGAATGCCAAATCATAAAATGATGCTTCATGACTGATTTGAGATCGACCGCCGATGCGAAAACCGCTGTGAGAGTTCGAAAAGTGAGTTACAGAATCGCAAGGCAGGACTCCGCATGCCTGGTAATTTGTTTTAAAATAATTTTGGAAATAAATATGGCCTATGTTACTAAGGGATATTGAAGGATTCATTTTCGATTTAAATTAGTATTTATTTATTTATTTCGTAATCCTACAGCTAACATAAATTAAATATTATAACAAACTGTTACACTGATAATACATTTAACTACAAAAAGGTTCAAAATTGTACAAAAGGAAACAAACAAATAAAAATTATTCAATACATTCAACTAAGTAATACCTAATTTGGCTGTGTTGTGTGATGGTGTAAAAGTGAGGGTAAGTATGAGAAGATGTGTATGTGGGGTATACTCATGATGCAGGTGATTTTTCGCTATGGATATTCTTAATACTCCTTTTAACCATATTACGCGATAGCTTAAACAAGTCAACGCTCAAATATTGGTCGTTGCATTCCGGGCTGCGCGATACAAAACTGAGCTTTTTGCATAGTTAGTGTATCAACACTAGTGAGGAACATGAAACAAAGCAAAATAGCAAGCAATATGTACTATTAATACCTACTACTTAGTATAACGTCTTAAAAGACGTATTTACATGTTTAAAACATCATGAAAATTAAGGATATGGGGGTAGGCTAAATTTTACAATTACAATACAATTACAATAAGAGAAAAACATCTTATTATTGGAAATTAACGCCTGATGTTTTATACCCAGCAGCGACGTAAATAGATTGTAAGAGAATCGGACTTTTATTTCATATTGGTTAAATCTTTCATCAATCATTCGATTTCAGACAGTTGGAAATGCTCTAGGGTTTTCGGATTATCCACAATTGGGTATATGATAGGTCACTAGTAAATCGTCTAAGGAAGAGAGATATTAGATATAAATTCAAGCAATTTTTCACAAAACTTTTATCTATCCTGGTTACAAATTAAAAGAAGCTCAGAATTTATTTAAAAATTGAAGTATTAAGTTGTCAAATGAGCGAGCGTTTATAACTTATAACATTTATTTATTTATAACCGCGGCAACAAGGCCATAACCAAAAACATAAAAGAGGAAAGAAACAAGTTATAACATTTATAACCTGTGTGTGGCCTCGATAATAGGAGCGGATGGCGTTCACAAACATAATGCTTATAATAATGCTTACAGGGCCGCCCGACCCCGCACGCCTTGTCGAAACCATGAACGCCTCCTCTTTCTATAGGGGTCAAACAGCCTTAGGGACGGACAAAAATAGTATTAATTCATAGACATTTTTACGGGTGTGTTGCAGGCCTTTGAGGGAATCCTTCTATATTTCGGCCTTTTTTTAAGAATCTTCAAGTTTCAATGTATTTTTTAATTTTGACGAAAGAAAAATTTTCTTTAGTTTATAGGTAAAACGTAAAATCCACTTAATAGGTTAAACGTCCCTCCAATTGCCTGTAAAATAAAACGCGAATTAAATTGTTACATAGTTTATTTATGATGTTATTTTTATCTAACCGTTTTTAAGGTCAGATTTATGAATATCTTTGTAATAAATCCTATCTTTTAGTAGAGGACGAAAAATATTTATATAGTTCTTGCACAATATTAAAAACCCAGTCTGTATGAGATGTGCAGCGTCATTTATTATTAAATTTAAACTATGGCTGGCGCACGGACATAAAAAGTGCGGAGATTTACATCCCGCAATATTCTTACCGCGCATATTTGAGCCATTATCATAGCCTTGCCCCCTTAAGTTCTTTATGTCCAAATTAATTTCGTTTAGTTTTTCTATTATAAATGACGTTACTCCAGCGCTAGTTGTATCTACGATTGGGCAGAAAGTGCTATTATAAATTGGAAAGCTAGGAAATGCTCTCTTATTCTTAACTTTCTAGTTTACATGTTAAAGTTGACAAACCTTATTATCATACTAATTTGCTCTTCGTTGAAACGTCAGTAGTACAATCCAGTATTATTGAAAAATATTTATTAATTCGACATAAATTTAAAATAAAATGTTGAATTTGGTTACCGAGTATAAAAAATAGTTCATTTGGATTTTATCAAGGTATGTCGGCATATTATTGAAATCATAAGCTAAACACACTCAAAAACTCACCGGTCACCCGCGGCCTTTCTTTTGATTCGCTAAGCTCTGAGTAATTAATGTAAACTAAAACCTAAAGCGTAAAATGAAACTTCAAACGTACGTAAGAATATTGTAGTGTAGTATAAATAATTTCGGTGGCGGCGCCCTTATTGTATTAGCGCCTGTGTGCACCGCACACTTCGCACATATGGGCGGCGCGGCCCTGAATGCTTACAATTAATAAGTTTAAATAAATCCGGGGCGTTACAACCTTAGGGCTGGGCCTCAGATTTCTTTATCTGTTTCATGATCATTTGTCAATCTAAAAGGCAAGTAGGCCTTCTGTGTCTGACACACGCCGTCGACTTTTTGGGTCTAAGGTAAGCTGGTTTCTTCACGATGTTTTCCTTCACCGTTCGAGCGAATGTTATGCTACTAAAAGGGCTTTATTTATTTGCGCACGTAGAAATAAAGCCCTTTAGTGCACAGCCGGTGATCGAACCTACGACCTCAGGGATGAGAGTCGTACGCTGAAGCCACTAAGCCAACACTGCTAAAATTAATAAGTTTACAAAGAATAATTTGATAACAGAATGCCCTGTAATCGGATTGGCGATCCGAAAAAAAAATAAGATTATTTGGGCCCTGCATCCGACTGCACGGACAAGCCATTCTGTTAATTGGAGTGTAGAACTCCAACTTAGAGCGCTTAGTGGGGATAAAAATGTACCTGTACTTTTATGTCAATTTCTATTATTTAGTCGATAAAAGTTACCAAAAATATAAAAATCTTATAAGTTTTTTACGCACTCGTTTTTAATGTTTAAAGTACTGCTGTAGTGTGTGAATATATCGTATAAAACTCCACTTAAGCGAATCATGTAAATTTAACATAAGACGTAATCGTTTTTGAAAAAATCCCTCATTTATCTAAGTGTATGTATTATAATAGCTTTGAAATTCTCATCAACCTTATTTAACTAAACACGAGTTATGTTACCTAACATTAATTATGTTACACATATATATTTTAGTTAATAATTAGAAGGGCAAACCAAATGTTTAATAATCTTACACTTGTAGCCAATAAATTGTAAAACGTCAGTTTTGGTAGTAATAAACCAGCCCTTTAGTTTTCCATTCACTCAGGAATTGTAATATAACATTCTCGTTTCCGTCCAATATGTTGACTTCACTTATATTCTTTATAGGCAACAGATGTGTGACTTAGTTTTAAGAACCCATAAATAAAGTTGTTATTTTGCTAGTCCAGCGTCACACACCACCACGCCTATTTTATGTTAATTATAAGCTGTTATATTAAACGATTTGACAGTTGACACTTAACTTTGACCGCGATGTTTTATTTATTTGAACATCCCTCCAACAACCGCCACCGAATGGAACTCACGACTCATTTATGTAGTACGCACCACATTAAACTCACCTTTGAAGTGGAACACCAGACATCCCAAAGTACCCAGCAGACCAGTAGCTACCAGCAACCAGCGAACTACTCCGACTATACGCTTCGGAATGAATAACTGGTTTTTTAACATCTTCACAAACGTCTTGTTTAGTGCCAGACCCTAAAATGATGAAAATTTCTATTCATATAATGTAATTGTTTGCAGTAAGCTGTTCTGGCTTACTACCATTTTTCCATTACCTAGATTCATACTGAGCCCGCTAATATAAAGCGCAGCAGAAAATACAATTCGAGACGACAAAATCTAGATCGCGTATGATCTGGGTCGAGTGTATTATGTCCGGTAAAGCAAAGAATTTGAGGCGTAATGAAATGTATTTATTTCGCAATCCTAAATAAATTAATAATATTTAACGAAATATAAAATAAAACAAATAGGTTTGAACATTAACGAAAGGAAAAAATCACTAACTAATACCTGTATTGGTGATGGTGTGAAAGTAAGGGTACTTGAGAGTGTGTATGTGGGGTGTGCCTATGATGCAGGTGGATTATGCAGAATTAGTAAGCCGCTTATTCTATCATTTTGTAATTATTTTAAGAAAAAAAGTTAAATTACCGAAATTTAATTCAAATGGATACAAATCAACTTTAAGTTAAACTCTTGTACGTACACACCTTACTCTTTTTTTACAAACCATAACGATACGAAACAGACATAGTCTATTTCGTTTGCGTTTAAGGGAAAATAGAAGACCGCTACAGATTTTACTTAAATTACAGTTTTGTAATCCAGGAAACCACGTGATAAATAAACTGCTACACGAGATACCCAGAAATTAATTTATGTATAAAACTAATGTAAGAACTGAATGAACCTGATCTGAAACTGATGTAAAACGCCAGCAACGCACTGGCGAGCCCTCTGGCATAGAGAGTGTACATGGGTGGCGAGATAACCGTGTGGGTGACGAGATACCCGGAAAAAAACTTATGAATAAAACTTATGTAAGAACTGAAAAAAACTGATCTGAAACTGATGTTAAAGGCTGGCAACGCACTGACGAGCCCTCTGGCATTAAGAGTGTCTATGGGTGGCGGGCGGTATCACTTAACATCAGAAAAAACATGAGTTCATAAAATTTTATTTACGTGCCCACGTGAAGGCATAAAAATACTTTCGCGATAATGTCATAGCTAAGTCTATAATTTACCGTAACGACCATGAAGCATTTCTGTATTATAAAGATTCATATGGCAAAATTCACAGATTATTTTCCTCGCAATTTCCCTGCCTTGTAATTTAAGTTCTGATTTATAACTGACGTCATACGTAAATGCGAACTTAGACAATTGGAACACATTTATGAGGTATATTTTACACAAATTTAAAATCTATGCATTTATTAATGTCTTATGATTCAGTGGAAATATTTTAAAAAAAATGTAATATGAGGCAAACGGGCAGGAGGCTCACCTAATGTTAAGTGATAAGCCCATGGACACTCACATTGCCAGAAGGCTCGAAAGTGCGATGCTGTAATCTTTACAATGTTATTCACCGTACGGGCAAATTTAATTTTTTTTGCTTACAATAAAGTAAAAAATAAAAATAAAACAAAATATGTTTATTATGGAACATAACATACAGGTATCACTTATTCCACGTCATTAAATTTGAATTTGTAGGCAACCCTACTCATCGGCAAAGAATATAAAGGGTGTAGGCCGAGAGAAAAAGCCGGCGTAAAAACTCTCGGTACTCTTTTAAAATAGCAAATCATCAAACAACACTTATTTTAAAACAAATATCGCAAATTAATTAGAAGTAGCCTGTCTAGCACTAGTCCCAGGCCCTTTTATCAACTAGATAATCGTTAACTTTATATTAAGCCTTTTTACACAGCTTTTCTTTAATACATTTCTTAACTTTATTAAAAGGCAGAGATAAAAGAGCCTCTGGGATTTTATTAAAGAAGAGTATCCCTTTTCCCAAAAAAGAATTACTAACTTTAGATAGTCTGTATATATGTAGTAATAAGTATAGTATGTAATAAAGTTCTCGAAAGAACGACTTTACATACCATATAGCTAGCTAGATATTATTAGAAAATTAAGTCATAATTTTCTACATTACTAGTGAACTTAACTAGTAATGTTTACAGTCTTAGTGTTCTATAATGTTTAGACACTATGTTCGTGTGTCTGAGATACCACACTCATATTCACTACACTAGTTTTAGTAACTCAAAAGGTTTAGTTCTCTTTAGGCTTGTTCCTGTTGTATCAAGAAGTCGGATTGCCTCAGCATTCAGATTATGTAGCCTGTTGAAATGAGCTAAGGCAAACCGTTTCACCGTATTTAGAACTGAATCCACTTTAAGTTATAAATGTTAATAGCAGTTAAAATATAAAAAAATAAGTACGCGTGACTTAAGAAATAGCTAGGCTGACGCTGATTCGAATGCTTAATTATATATTTTTTTAATTTACGTTATAAATAAAATATCTTACTTCTTCAATCCAATTGCTGTATAGAGCTTTTACAGTTCCATTTTGTTGGTTTGAATTAATTTTAAGCTGAATTGAACTCGTTGTTTAGCAACCATTGGAGTACCTGTTATCTAAAAACAAATGGTTGTCTGTAAAGTCGGTTTACGGACGATATTCTGTGATAACATTGATGTAATGATTGCATAATTGTCCGAATAATTTTGAATAATATTTATTAACATTATTTGCACGATACAAAGGAGTGAACCTTCTAGCATAGGCCATCGAGTGGAAGAGAAATAATCGCAATTAAGTACAATGATCGTGAAGGGACTTCGCAATCCGGGACAATGGGTCATGAGTTTTATTGTCAGTGCAACCGGCGTTCATCGATTTCTTAGACGTTGTCATGTCAAAAATCAAGAAAATCTTAATATTTAAACCTTTCGTCATATAAAAGTGATGCGAGTGTGTTTAATTAACAGTAATTTAAAGACGTTTGAATTGTTGTTTAAACTATTTTGCTAGTGTGCACTCTTATATAACAAATATAACTGATGTGTCACTTAACCGATTGGGCTATAGCACGGTGCTGTAATAGTGATCTCGATTCAATATTAGTTTTCGTATAAAACAATCGAATATTTTTGATTTGAGAGAACTACTTCGTATTTGATGTAGGGATCCGTATAACTATTGGGCCAGGCAAAATCAATGAATAATAAGCGTTTGGTATATCATATCGATATAATATAATCATATACATATAAAAAAATTAGTGGCGTTATACAACCTTTTTAGGTTTGGACCTTAAATTTTTAGTTCTGTTTCTTGATCATTTGTCAATCTAATAGACAAGAGGTCCTACTGTGCCTGACACTACCGTGATTTGGGTCTAAGGCAAGCGGTTTCCTCACGATCCTTCACCTTTCGAGCCACTGTTAAATGCGCACAAAGATAGAAATTCCATTGGTGCAAAGCCGGGGATCGAACCTACGACCTCAGGGATGAGAGCCACGAAGCCAACACTGCTCTGATAAATCCACACCCCGTTATATATAGTTAAAGTTATATTTAGTTTAGCAATTTTCGAGTAAATTTTCCACATAATAATTTATACATACAATTTTTGAATTCAAAAGCGGTGACTTTTTAGGCAGTAAAGAAGTGTATATAAAAAATAATCCTACCGGTTCAAAATCAATGACTATTTCGTGCTCATTAACATCCGGGCTAAGACCTTTCACATTTTTAAGCAACTCCGGGTCACAGTCATAGTAATGCGGCAGTGAGACGTAGAGTGGTGCACCCATACACTTTGTTAGGTCCATAAGACCCTTGGGCGGACATTTCTCGGGACTTTCGCAATAGCACTGCAGGTCAGGGTCGTTAGCCAAGTCCCCAATGTTAGCGATATAACGATTCGTCTTGATTCCTTGGTAGGACGTCTTCTTTTGGTACCAGGGCTTGAAAGATCTGGATACAATCGAATAACAATGAAGGCAAGCATACGTTGTGTGTACATTGTAAAATTTGTTAAAGTTTCTGGATGAGATTTCGACGTCGCAGACAGAATGAACTTCCTTTTTTTTGTTTTAACAAAGAACTACCATGAACGGCCTACCCTAGTAAAATAAAATACTTATATATATTGGTGTGCGTATGTGTTTATGTGTGCGTGTTTGTGGGAGTATTTGTGTGACTATTTACGTAACAAATAATTTTGAAGGAGGCTTTATTGAAAACGTTAAGTTGAGGAAAGAAATCATTCTGGGCACAAATTCTATTTATGGGGGTTACGAGAAATGCTATTTTTAATTGTATTATCCTAGAAAAGAGAATTCTTGTTTAAACTAAGTTATATTTCTTTTTAGTATTTTTGGGTGTAAAATTATAACTGAATGAAATATATAACAAGAGACGCTTAGTTAGCTGTCATCAAAATAACTGAAATGTGTGAATTCACTTTATATTATAAAACTCTGAAAAGCTTATTTTCGCTAGTAACAATGTATTGTTTTTTTAGTACTTAAAGGCGTATTTCTTCTTTAGATTTTTATTTAGTAGAAAATTGAAATACCTGCATAAATCACCAGCAAACGATTCAAGTCTGTCAAATTCGGTCAAAAATGGCGGGAAAACGGTCCCGTCAGTGCCTACAAGCTTATTGCAGGAGTCGCGCCAGACGTCTTGTTCTGTTTTATCATCAATGGCAATCACTTTACCGACATCCATTACGTTTTTGATTCCTCGCAAAACAGTTACCACGTGTTTGTCAATTGTTCCGTTTCTCTAAAATAAAATTCGTATTTTTTTGTTATCTTTGGTTTTCGTATTGATAAAAAATATATTTCTTGCATAAAATATTTAATTAAATAATTTAAATAAATATTAATGAATACCACCTCGCTACCCGCTGGAGGGGATCTCCAGGAAAAAGAAATGGAGAATGGAGGAAGCTAACAATAGATCCATACAGATTTTTATTTTATTTTAGACCCATACTGCAGAACATACAGAAACGGAAATAACAATAACTAACGTAGTATTATAACAAAACTAACACCCATTAAATATGTGATTATTAATAGTATAGAATTAAAGTGGCTTTATTATTATTATTACTGTTAAAATATACTTAGCCTTCATAGCATCAAGAATAATTACAATCACACTGATTAACTTTGTAAAAAGCTTTAGTACAGATATAACTTTTTTCGTAAGCGAACTTTTTGTACGCGATTCGCCAGTCAAACT